TATTTCAGTAATTTATATTTTGTTTAATCTATTTAAAAAAGATCGCCAATTTTACAAGTCAAAAGTCATCTTCCTGATTTATATGTTGTACAGGCCTATAATTTTACATGTGATCAACACCAGGTGTTAATTATAGGTACACTTCTTAAATGCATAATTTTTTTTAAGTTATTGGAACTTGAGCGATATATAAGATACACATTAGAACAATGGTTTGATACCTATGAAGTCAAAAAAATTTTTTAATAAAATCTTCTCTAATTAAAAATACAATGGCCAAAAACGCATCGCCTTTTTATTTTTAAATTTGTAGTCTCAATTTTGGATCCTGTACAAATTTAGTAAAAATTATAGTAGGAAAAAAAATGCGACAATCAAAAACGATAGAATAAAAATACGGTTTTATTATCATCATCCTTTATTCTGTTGATCTTTTATTTGAAAAAAGTATGGTTTATCATCCCATGTGTAGCAATTAATACGGGGAAAAGCGTTATTTAATCATCAAAAAAAAAAAAAATAAATAAAAATATAAATAGATGGCTTTACCTTTTGTTTTTATATTCTTTTTTTTTTTTTTTCCTTTTCAAATTCTTGAACAAACAAAATTTATCACGACGGACTGGATCCGACACATATTGCATGATGTCAGAAAAATCGGTAGATCAGCAAGTGCACCTAGAAGCAACATTCCAAAAATTGGAAGCAGTGGCAAACCGAGAAAAATTACGCAAAAGATTTAAGAATGAATCATATTGGCCTATCATCATGTAAATGAAAAAAAGAAAAGGACAAATCTAAATAATATTTTTTTTTTTTTTTTTAATTTTTTTTTTTTTTTCCTTTTTTTTTTTAAACAGAAAAGGACCTATCGGATTGACGATATATGCGTGTAAGTAATAATTTTGTAAACAAGTTTGAAATCAATAAATCATATTAATGAATCACTTCCAATCATCAGTGTTTATGTATCCACTAGTATTTTTTAATCACATAATAATGGAAGAAAAAATAATTTCAAGTTTAACAATTTATCAAGAAACATTACTTCGTACAATGAAAAGGTCAACCGACACATCACTGAAAACATTACGTAAAACAAGTTCATATATGGGATTTCTAAACAAAACATTTCACTGTAGCGAGCGATTTGAATCATTAAAACCCAAAGATACAGAGATGGGAATTAAAGGATATTGGTTAGGACCAGTCAAGTATAAAAAAAAAACAAGTGAGGCCACGATATTATATTTTCACGGAGGAGGGTACGTTACGTCAACATCATTGATTGCCATAAATTCATTATGCTATTTGTTAAAAACTTTACGTAAACGGTATGATAAACACGTTAGAGTATTAGCAATTGATTATTCACTTGCGCCAGAAGAATCATTTCCTATCGGATTGAATTGTGCCGAGAGAGCTTACGATTGGTTGGTTAAAAGTGGTATCGCAGGTAGTAAAAACGTATTTTTATGCGGGGATTCTGCCGGAGGTGGCTTAATCTTGGCGTTATTACAAAAATTACATATAGGCACAAATGATAAGATACCATTACCACTTGGAGGATTATTAATATCACCATGGGTGGACTTAACATGTGACACGTCATCATTCTTTACCAATGCCAAATTTGATTGGTCATCGGAACATTTGGGACAATTCGCAGAAAGTTATATCTTTGGTGAGGAAGGAAATCCGGCGCATGATCCATTATGGCAACAACGAAATGAGAAAGATAAAATTATGGAATGGTTATCAAAAGTTGAAGATACTTTTGATTTCGATGTAGAAAATATCTGGAAAAGGTTAAGCAGTAACATAAATAATGATAAAACGAGAAAAAGATTATCCCATCTTCGTGATAGTTTTATTAGTATCAAGTCCGACGATCTTTTAAAAAAACGTGATCCTTTAGTCGAAGAAGAGGCAACAAATGAGAATCAAACAAAGGAAACAAAGGATGATAAAGTAGAGTTAACGGATATGAAAGAAAGTCCTTATCGAAATCCTTTGATCAGTCCATTACATACTCCTCATCATATTTTGGCAAAATTTCCACCGTTATTAGTTACATACGGTGGTAAAGAATTATTTAAAGATGATATTGAAATGTTTATTCGAAAAGTTATCGAATCAAAAAAACTTTACAATCCAACTCCTGTTCCAACTTCAGACATTATCGCAAGTACGTTCTTTGATAGTAAAGATCTTAACATTAATAATTCATTGGATGGACAGCATCCTGATGTTGTCGTTGAGATGGATGAAGACATGGTTCATGCTTATCCCATTTTAAAATTTGCATTTGGTAAACATTCAAGAAGGGCTATTGAACGAATGGCTTACTTTATTGCAAATAGAATTCCTTTACCGAAACCTATTCGTTCTCGTCAATCAAATGCACCATCTTGCACTTCTAATGGTGAAAAACTTGATATCTCCACCATCCCTAATTCTAGAAAATTACCTAAAACTGATTTTATTGCTACCATTATTGAATGATTTTATTTAACATAATTTACTTAATATTTTAATATTTTTATTTTATTATAGTTTTCTCTTTTTCTCTTTTTAATTTAATGTAATAATATAATGGTTTAACATGGTATAAGTTTATTTAATATGGTCAATTTACTTTACCTATAATATTTCCAAATATTTTTTCCAAATATAGAATTACACGCTGACGAAAACATTTTCAAAAATATAAACGTGATTTATTTATAATTATCAATGGTATATTTGAAGCAATAGGAAAAATGATAGAAAGTTGACATTTTCACCACTGGTATATCAAGAATCCCAGAGTTCGGCCTAGTGCAACTGGTGATGATACATAAAAGTAGTGACAAAATTATCTGTAGAAATACATTTTGATATCACCTTGAGGTTAATCGCGTTCATCTTTCAACTTTCTTCTGAAACAACCTCCTCTATAACCGTGTATCATTATAATTATTATAATTGAACCATTTACATTTTTTTTTTTTAGTTTCATTATTTTTAGCAAAATTTACGCGTTTATTAATGTTTTTGTAGTGCGTTTAAGATTTTTATTTACTATTAAAAGCTCAGATGTTCGATAAAAATATTTGAATAATGAAAAATTAAGAGAGAATAAACTCGCTCCAATTTAAATACTAACCATAAAAGACCAATGCGTGTCGACCAAAAAAATTGAACCGGAATTTTGTTTCGTATTGTGTAACATTGCCGCATTCAGTCATGCTTATATAATTAATTATTTCGGATTAGGTGAAAATTAAAAATCAAAACAAAATATCATTATGCGATATTAAATTTCCCGCTTTTTCTCACACTTTTTTAGTCCTTTTTAATTATTATTTATTTATTTCCCCCAAAAATCGCTCTTTTTTTCTCTCCCTCAATTTATATCACAATGTCTCAATCAGACAATTTAGAATTAACAATTCACTCTCCATCAATTACATTAAAAACTTTACGAACTTTCAATCTAATATCCATTTTATTGGTTTCCTATTTAAATACTGATTTTTTAATATTTTCTCATTCAAGTAATGATATATATGATGATTATCCTACTTATTTTACCCCTTCACTAACATCTGTAGGAATATTTTGGGTTATTCTACATATTTTACAAATCGTATTCGCCGTTTTCGTTCAATTTAGTAATGTTCATATTGTACAAAACGTTGTAGAAAATACCGTTAGTTGGTGGTTTACGCTTAGTAATTTATTTTTATTTGGTCAATTATGTTTCTTGGTAAGTGATCGATTAGTTTCGCGAAATTTTTTTTAATTTATGTCAACTTATAACTTTTGGACTTTTTAGATGCGGAAAAGTTTCATTCCTGCGGAACTTTTCGTTCTCTTGACTTTAATCTCTACATTAATAGTTCATCATCGTCTCGCGGTCAACTATCCTCCAAATCAACTTCCAGAGTCCGTTGCATCCAAGATTATTTCTTTCGTTCATACCCCATTTGCAATGCTTTCAGCCTTTTCCTTGTTAAATCTATTTCATAATGGGTTTATTATCTTTGCTCAAGGTTATGAAAAGAGATATGGCATTATCGCTGTCGTATTAGCTTGTATTATGGCTATGATTGGCGTTGCTTGGAGCATTACTGGCGCGTTTATGAGAGGGAAAAGGGACGGTGTATTTGGTGCTACTATCGCTTGGTATGTACTGTACTCGAAAAAATTTTGTCTTTATATCTTTGCTTTCTCTTTTTTTTTTTTTTTTTAAAAAAAAAATAATCTTTTTTTCTTGAATTTTCGTTATAATAAAATGCGTAGGGCCTTGCTTGGGATTGCTGCGCATCAACGTGAAACGAAATATCTATCCATTACTTGTTTGATATTGGCAATTTTACAATTTCTAGTTATTTTTGTTGTGTGGTACAAATATGGTGGAAGTTTTACGGCATTTAATGGTTCAAGACCATCTAGAAGAAGGGTCTCTTACCCACAAAATGATCTTAGAGAACCTTTATTACCACCTCATCATGATAGTAGTAGTTTAGCATAATTTTCTTGATTTTTATTTTTATTTTTTTTTTAAAAAAAAAAAAAAAGAAAAAAACATTTACGACTAAAAAATATTTTTATTTTATAAATAAATACCTTTAAAATTGAAATTAAAAATGTGCTTGTTACGTAGTATTTTTTTTGACCTGCTGATTGCTGCGCTAATACTATTTGGGATATTGTTTTGACATCAAGAATGTGTAACTTTCAACGAATTTTTTTTTACTCGTTGTGGTAACATTAAAAAAAGGTGATATTAAATATAATTTAATGACAAAAAAGAACTTGTTTTATTTTTAAGTTATTTTTGATTACAACATCAAAAACGCTATAGGCCGTGTATATATATCGAAAAATCATTCTATATATGTATATTTATTTATTCTGTGTTTTTATTTATATATATATTTTTTTTTTACCATTAATCAAAGACAAATTAACAAGTTAAATGTTACTATTATTCTTACAATTGAATCAGCTTTTTATTTTTTCTTGGGAATTGGATTCCAAGTTTCGGGCTCAAATGCATCACCGGGTATTGTTGGAGGAAATTCATGTGCAAAAGATTTTTTACCTCCTATTCAAAAGTTCCGTCAATAAATATATTTTTCGGTATGTTAATTCAGATGAACAATAAATAATAATATACCTTCGGCTTCCGTTGGAGCATTTTGCTGATCTTTCGATTGTTCACTCGCAAGTTTCGCCTTTCGCTAAAATAGATTAGATAAGAATTTACTTCGACGAAATTCAAAGGAGTTAAAATAAATGATCCCGACCTCTTCGTATTCTTGATCCAATTTTTTCGCTCTTTCAATAATCAATTCGCGTCGTTTATTAGCTAATACGATTTCCTATATATATATATATTTTCATTAACCTCGATTAAACATATATGCAACTTTTTTTTTCCTCCCACTTACTTCTATTGTAGGTGGATCGTATCTGGTATGTCTCAGCCAACTTTCCCATTGCACTATAATGTGCCCATATATACATTTAATAAATTTATAGATTAAATTTAATAAACATGATTTAAAATTAACGCGAAATTCACTTACCAGGGACTTCGTCACCACTATAATCAATCAAATCCTTTTTGACTTTTAATTCAACCATTCTTTTCGTTCGACCATTAATTTGTCTAGTGCTTTCATAATACTCATTACCTATATTATCCGATCCTACATAAACTATTGAACGCCATGGAAACCTTATATGTTTCCAAGCTGTAGTGAAACGGGATAATGTTGACATTTATATATATGTATATATATATATATATATATCTTAAAAGATTTGAGGAATATAGAAAGGTGTCGAGTTAAAGAATCTTTTTTAACAAATTCCAATACTAAAAAGTACGTCAAGACGGAGAAATGAATTTTAAATGTTTTAATAAAGAACGGAAATTTCGATTAAGAGAATTCATTGTCAAAAAAAAAAAAAAAAAAAAGAAAATTTTGATTGGTTGATAAAAAATTTATTTAGAAAATACAGATGTGGTATAAATATTGAACACGTGGTTCAATTCAACTCTTACACCTAAACGTCAAAATTTTAATCTAGTATGTTTAACGACAAATATAAAAGCAATACGAATTCTACGAACGAAATTTTACAAATAATAAAAAATTATGGGAAGACCTAAAGACTCTAAAAAAAGTCTTGTTCATCCTACTACAAGTTCAACGGTCACTTCGGCGACCGCTGGTTCTTCAAAGACGTCAGCTCCTTTAAAAATCAAGCTTCCAAAGCTGGGAATTTCTTCAAAGGAGAAACAAAAGCAGCATCTAGCACACACGGGTACAAAAAAAAGACCCATTATATTGGGTAAAATACCTGAAGACGATGATATCGAGGATAAAGACGTTCCCGTTGAGGAGCAATTTATTTTAAGATTGATGGTCCCCGAGGACGTTAAACAAAGATTTAGAGAAAAGGTTAAAAGTGGAAAATCTATCGAAGATATCGGAATCATTTTTAAAGGTAAATTTTTTATGGAGGAGATCTTTTTTTTAATTTGTTAATTCGGATAAATTTTCGTTTAATTTATAATATTAAGATCCTCGTCGTGCAATCTTTACGTTTGAGAATCAAAAGTATCGTGCTAGATTAGTTGATTTACCTTGTATTATTGAGGCTCAAAAAACTTTCAATAAAATACAATACTACAAGGTTGCTGACATATGTCAGGTAATCTTTAATTGTTACCCCTTTTTTTTTCATTTAGTTAATACAATGAAATTTTGATTCATTCATTTGTTATTTTATTTTATTTTATTTTTGCATGATCACCTCAGATGTTGATTGTAGAATCTCAGATTTCATCTCAGGAAGATGAACAATTATTTACTGAAAATTCCAAATCTTCAAATGTTGATGAATTTGAATGGTATGACGGATTAACACCTTCCCTGAAGAATGTCAGAAAAAGAAGATTCAGAAAACGCATATCTGCAAAGGTGAAATACTTTTTAAATACTTTTTTTTTTTGTTTTTGTATGTAATGAGAGAATGTCGCATTCAAACAAAAACGAATTCGAGGTTTTGCGAAACACGACATATACGAATGTGTTCTCTTATCCTTTAACAAAGGAAATGAACCAGGAAAATATTATCCATCTTGTCAGGCAACTGCAATGTCCTTGTTGGTTAATACTTACTTAAAAGATTGGATTAAATCATGAAATCTGGTTTAAGGAGATTCAGGGTGACCTCTCAGAAATTTATTTTAATTTAATAATAATTAATAAATTTTCCATAATCTCATGATTTTATTGATTGATAATACAGAAAATTGAAGATATCGAAAAAGAGGTTGAAAAATTATTACATGAAGATTCGTTAGCAGAGGAAGTAAAGCTGGGTATGTATTTTAAAGATACCTTTTTAAATGTTAAATACTTTAACTGATGAAAGTCAATTTTATCGAATAAAGTATGGGAAGATGCCCTTGACTCGGAAACAGCAACACCAGCCGCATATCTCGGATCTAAAATACCCGAGGAGGAAGATCAAGAGGAAGTTGAAGTACAAGGTGAGGAAGATGATTATGATGCCGAATTAGAAGACGATACAATGATATTGGGAGAGGAAATTCCTGACGAGGATCAGATGTATACAACACCTAAGGAATATAACGATGATTTGCAAAAGGAGTTTGAGAATGCTCTTGAAAAAATTGATGAGATGTCAGATTTTGATGATGATGATAGTGATAAAAATGAAGAAACGACAGATTCAGAAGCATCATCTTCAGCATCGGAGGATGATGATGATAGCGTGGATGAAGATCGTAAGTTGAACAAATACTCTTATTTTAATAATTAAATAATAATATTAAATTTCTTTGTGTAAAATTTTATAGCGGAATTAACACAAATATTTAGCAAACGTGAAGAGTTAACAACCGAAATTTCCAGATTAGAACAAGATATAAATAATCTCGAAACTCACTTCGCATCTGCAATCAATCCATTAATACAGGTTTATTTTTTTTTGATATGTAATTAAATAAATTTTATCTTAACATCTTGTTCGTAATTACTGAATTTCATTAAATAATAACAGGGACGGCTCACCAGTAAAATTGCTTCTGCTAAAGAAGAAATTTCACAAAAGCAACAAGAGATTGAATCTTGTGATAAACGAGTATCCGAAATTCACGATAGAATGAAGGCTCAAGTTGCAGAATTAAAAAGAATGACTAAAGGAAAAGGAAGAGAATCTGATGAAGATTCAGAAAATGAGTCCGAAAATGAACATACTTTGAATTCATCTGATGATGATGAACAAAAGGATGAAGATAAAAATGAGGAAAATAACGAAGAGATGATGACCGTAGACAATGAGCAAGCTGAAGATGAAGAAAATAAATTGGACGAAAGTATGATGGATAACGAGAATAATGATGGAAAATTCAAAGAAAATAGCGAAGAAAGTGAAAATGAATTAGAGAAATTAGAAGAATTAGAAGATCATAGTACCTCTAAAAAGAGTGAATAAATTTATTTACTTACCATTTATATCATAAATCTCTTTACAAATAAAAGACGAATTTAAAAATTCCGGAGATAACTGATAAATTTTTTCGAAATATCTAGTTTCATCTTATAGAATTCTATAAATGCTTTTAATGCTCAGCCCAAAACTTATATCATCTATATATACACAATGTTGAAAGTGAGAATATATTTATCAAAAAGCTGCTTTATCTTTGGACTGATATGAAAGAATTTTTTACAGTTCGTTCACGCTTTCGCATTTAATTTTATTATGTTTCACGTTTTACATTATTATGAACAATGGAGGTAGCGAACTATATTACATTGATAATATATAAAGAACTGTATGAATTATATTTTATTGTCAAAGAACAAGCTTTCTCAAAACGGTTTTAAGCGATTGCAATGCATTTGGCGAGAAAAATAGATCAAATATGGGTAATTTGATCCCTTATCACTAAACGAAATCATTTTAACCTTTTTTATCGTCTTACTCCTTAAATATTTTAATTTAAAAGGGAAAGGAACAACATTATTTATTCATTATAAAAATAAAAGTTTTTTTTTGACCAATAATAACATTATATTTTAAATGCGGTACATCGTTATACAATTTGACTTTTTGAATTTTGTGGATTGTCAAGTGACAACCTTGCATAGATATTTGTTTGATTATGTTGATTATGTAAGTCTTATTATCCCAAGAACAATTTGGTTCCGAAGAGGTGTTACAATTATTTCTTATAAATAATGCAGTCTTTTCATAGCATTCAACCTAGGGTGATTCTTTTTAATGAACTTTTTTTTTTTTTAACAAAGAATTTTACCCATTAAATTATTAATTAAAAAGTATGAAGGCGGCAACGACTCTCGCGTTAGCATGGGCTCTATTGACCTTGGCGACCAATGGTAGAGCTCATGTTATTAAGGATTCAACTACTACTCCACAAGTTTCAAGGAACAAAGGAAATTTTGGACCGGAACTTCATCATCGATCATATATATCACCAGATTCCATAAATACTGCAAACCCTTCCTTTAACGCATTGACCTCACCAAACAGAGGATTATCACCTCGAGAAATTGCTATTCTATTTGTTAAAGAAAGTCTCCACCCATATGCTGATTTTATCGTTAAAAATATTTATAAATCCGAACATAATGGAATCACTCACGTATATCTTAAACAAGTTGTTAACGGGTTACAAGTCATTAACGGTGACTTAAATATTAATATTGATAAATTTGGTAGAGTAATCTCTTATGGTGATAGCTTTGTACTACCACCTAATTTAACCGGACTTGAAAAATTCTCGACAAAAGATTCCTTTGAAGATAGTGTTGTCATAAATAATGGAAAATATTTTATAACTTCTAATCCTCGTCAAGTTATCATTTCCTCTCATCCACCAAACCTTAAAGAAGAAAAGGTTAACGATTATGATACCGTTCAATATAAGATTAATAGTGAAATTGCAGAAACAATATCACCATTTGATGCGTTAAAATCATTTGCGACATATATCAATCAAACGATTCCACCATCAGAAAATTTACGATATTATGAATCGTTTAATGAAGATGATCAAGAGCATTTGATATTTGAAAAGATCCCTTTCGCTTTATCACCCGTTAAATTATCACAAAATTATCTTCAATTAGACGACATGTCATTACAATTAGTTTGGGATATACAAATTGAAATGGAAAATAATTGGTACCACGCTCATGTTGATGCTCAAACAGGTGAATTAATAGCATTAATGGATTGGGTCGCAGACGCGTCTTATAATGTCTTTCCGCTAGGGGTAAATGATCCTGAAGAGGGAGATCGTGATTTACAAATCGATCCTCATGACATTATTGCCTCACGTAATGGTTGGCATAATCAAGGAAAACGTAATTTTACCACTACCATTGGTAATAACGTTTATGCTCATGAAAATCTAGATGGGAGATGGGAATGGGAGAATAATTATAGACCTGATGGTGATGACTTATTGTTATTTGACTTCCCGTTGAATTTATCTGATGTACCAAAGTCTTATATCGATGCCTCTATAACTAATCTATTCTATTGGAACAACATGGTATGTATTATTCGCTTTTATTAATATATCTGTATATTTTTTTGTTTCGTCTTTTAATATTTTACTTTTTTTTTTTTGGTTAGGTTCATGATTTGTTTTATAGATACGGGTTCGATGAAGTTGCTGGTAACTTCCAACAAGAAAACTATGGTAATGGTGGTAAAGGCAACGATCCAGTCATTGCCAATGCACAAGATGGATCTGGATTTAATAATGCCAACTTTGCCACGCCACCAGATGGACAACATGGTAAAATGCGCATGTACGTTTGGGATGTAATCAATCCATGGAGAGATGGTGATTTGGAATCCGGAATCATTGTAAGTAACGTCAATGAATTTTTTTTTCGTTTAAAAAAAAATACATATATATTTTTTAAAAAAAAAAGTAAATTATTTCTTTTCTGTAATGATAGATTCATGAATATTCCCATGGAATTTCCACCCGTTTAACGGGAGGACCAGCAAATAGTGGATGTTTAGGATGGGGAGAAGCGGGTGGTATGGGAGAAGGATGGGGTGATTTCTTTGCTACCATCTTACGTATGAAACCTTCATATGGTCGTGACAAGGAATTTGGTATGGGAAATTGGGCTAACGGTGGTAAAGGGATAAGAAAATATCCTGTAAGTAGTTGCTTGTTTGATTATCACATTTTATTTCATTTGATAAAAAAAAAAGATTAAACGTATAACATTTATGATATATGTAGTATTCCACTTCGTTAAAAAACAATCCCGAAACATTTTCAGTCATGGATAAACCTGGTTACTGGGGCGTACATGCTAAAGGGTAATTATTCATTAAAGAACTCTGTTAAAATTTCGATGTCATTGATAACTAACTTTCATACTCGATTTTTTTTTTTTATTTATTTTCCTCGCGTGTAATAGAGCTGTTTGGGCAGAAATGTTGTACGAAGTATATTGGAATTTGGTAGACAAACATGGATTTACATCACAATGGTTCCCACCTACAAATGATACCAATGACGCTTTGTGGTATAACTTTAAATCATCCTCAGGTGTTCATACACTTAAACATCCTAAACATGGCAATACATTAACATTACAATTGGTAGTTGATGGTATGAAATTACAACCATGTCGTCCATCATTTATTACTGCACGTAATGCAATTATTCAGGCTGACGAAGTATTAACTAATGGTGAAAATAAATGCGAAATTTGGAAAGGTTTTGCTAAACGTGGTCTTGGAGTTAAAGCTAAAATCATTGGTGATAATCCTTGGGGAGGTGGTATTCGTAAGGAAAGCTTTGCTGTTCCCGAGGATTGTAATATTGTTGATGACGAAGATGATGAATGATGATTTCAGAAAGAGAAATTAATTCCTTTTGATGGAGGGGAAGGAATTTATTTTTTTGAATAGTGTATATAGCTATTGTAAATTTGTCTGGTCTTTACTTTTTTTTTTTTTCGGGAGGTGTTTTTTTTCATTTCTTTAAATAAATTATATATACAAGCAAACTGTTTAAAAACAAATTTATTTTTTTTTTCTTTTTTGATAAAATTATACTTTGATAAAAATAGTAAAAAAGGAATACAAGAAATGAACAACAATTAAATTAAAATTTGATATGAATCACTATTTATCACCATTTTGTTTATGAAAGATATCAATAATTTCTTCTAAAATTTTAACACCGAACTGAGCTTCTTCTTTCGTTAATATCAAAGGAGGTACAAGCCTAACGGTTTGATTACTGGCAGTAATAATCAATAAACCCCTCTCTCTGGCCATCTTTACTAAAGGACTCGGGTCAAGAGAGAATTGCATACCAAGAATTAAACCTTTCCCTCTAACTTCGGTAATTAAAGATGGATGCTTTGAAGATAATCTTTGTAATTCATTAAATAAATAATTTCCTACATTGTTAACATTTTCTAATAATCCCGAACTGTTAATACGACTTACAACAGATAAAGCGGCTCTGCATGCCAATGGACTTCCACCAAATGTCGTACCATGATCTCCAATTTGTACAATGTCGGCTACTCTTTTGGTGGTCATTATTGCACCAATTGGATATCCATTTGCTAATGGTTTTGCCATTGTTAATATATCTGGATGACATGATTTAGGATAATGTTGATGAGCCCATAATTTCCCCGTACGTCCAAGTCCACATTGAATCTCATCAAAGATTAATAACGCGTTAACTTCATCACACCTCTTTCTTAAAGCTTCTAAGAAATCAACCTTTGTCTCCCAAACACCACCTTCTCCTTGAATGGGTTCAACAATAACCGCGCAAGTATTTTCATTAACGAATTCTGGTATCTTTTCTATATCATTGTAATTGGAATGAACAAATCCTGGTACCAAAGGTGAGAAAGGTGTTTGATATTTCGGTGATGGGGTGGCTGATAGAGCTCCCATACTTCTACCGTGAAATGCATTCATGAATGATACAACTCCATATTTTTCTTTTCCTCCATTGCTGATCAATTTCCCCCATTTTCTTGAGAATTTTAACGCTCCTTCATTTGCTTCTGTACCCGAATTTGAAAAAAATACTTTTGCCGCTTCAAATCCACCTCCATTTATTGTAGATTTCACCAAGTATTCTGCCAATTCACCAGCATATTCATTATGATATAGATTCGATAAATGAACTAATTTTGATGATTGATCCGCTATCACTTTCGCTAATTCATCATCTGCGTGCCCTAATGCATTAACTGCTATACCTGCTGAAAAATCCAGGTACGCTCTATCTCCTAAATCGAATACCCAACATCCTTTACCTTTAGTAAGAATTATTGGTGGTCTAGCGTAAGTGTTGATCGTATATTGATCTTGTCTAGCCAGTAATTCCGCTGTTTTAGGATGCGTATCAGCATCTGCATGACTCAATTTCTAAAAAAAATATTTAAACCAAAAAAATTATTTAAATTTTTTCTTCTTTTGAATACGCATCGTTTTCAATATTTACTTTGGATTCGGACGTCATGATATCCCTGGCAGTTTGGGTCGCAACCGATGCTTGTGTAGTCGTAACTATATTATACCTCTGAAATTGAAAATGTTAAGCATTAGCATATAAATGCTTTTATTTCAAATGAAATATACATGCTAAATTGACTTACATTAATAATCCTATTTTTATTTGCTGCAACTAATCTACTACCAAAAGTTATCGAAGAGCGAAACATTTATTCAGAATATCAAATTTTTATGGCCGAAAGGAATTAAGTTTATGAAAAAAAAAAGAGAGAGAGAGAGGGAGAGAATGAGAGAATTTTCTGTTGTCGTTCTTTCTTTTATTTATAATCTCGATATTAAGGATGTATGACCAAATTGGAATTACCTTTCACTAATAAATTTTTAAATAATTCCGCGAAATCTTTTTTTTGTTATGAATCTTGATCTGAATACATTTTTCTACCACTTTTTTGACAAATTATCATATTTCTTTTTCTCTTTCTCAATTATTTCTTTTAGATTCAGCTGCTTATATAAAAAAATATTTTAATGAAATATTATATTCTGTTATGTTTCAATTGATTTTATGTACCTTGTTGTACACATATATTAAATTTAATAGGAAAAGTAAAATATTTTTTTTTTCTTTTATATTTTATTATATTAAATAATAATATAATTAACTAAATTTTATAGTGAAACATGATGAAAATTTAATTCTTTTAAAATTTTAAAAGAATTTTTGGCTAAAGTAAAAGAATATTTTATTTATAATCCAGCAAAAAGATAAATATTTAACACATCTTCACTTATATAGTATAACTTCTCCTTGTAAAATTCCCCTTCCTATTTCTACACATTGAACTCATGGTTTAAAATGGTTGATTTTACTAAGACACATTTACCATATTGGAATTCCTTTTTTAAAGATGAATTAATTAATAATTCAAATAATGTAACTCTTCAAAATATTTCATAAACCCTTTTTAATTCTCATGATGTTGGTGTTATTTCAATTGTTCATTTTATTTCTATATATGCAAAACAATTTATACAAGATACTGATTTTTTTTCAAACACAAAACAAACCTAAATTTCCTTTAGTAGAAAGACGCCTTTATTATCTTACTGCATTTTTAGAAAGCAATTGTAATTCTTTAAATTTTGGTT